GTCTGAGGACAGGCAGGCGGGGACAGATACAGGCCTGCCTGAGGACGGGTGGGGGTGGATACCGGTGTGTCTGAGGGTGGGCAGGGATGGATCCAGGCGTGTCATCAGCGGTCTGCCAGGCAGAGCATCCGACGTGCAGCCCCAGGTCCCCGTGCCTCTTACCGTAGCTTCTCTTCCTGGGTGTTCCATGGACAAGAGAGCCTCTGCCAGGGTCAGAGTGGAATTGTACCAGAACTCCTCACTTCCGCCCAGGGGCTGGGCCTGTGCGATCATTTTCTTGGCTTGTCCATAGTTTTTCTCCTTGTTGGCCAACTGTGCGAGGAGGAGCAGGCACTGGGCCTCTGCACAGGGCTCATCCAGCTCCTGAAGGAGAGAGACTCAGACATGTGTGGGTTCCTCTACAGACGTGTGCAGGCAGGGAGATAGGAGAAGGTAGAGAGAAGGAGGAGGCAGACAGAGAGGCAGAGGCAGACAGAGGCACCGGGTGAGGGGAAGACAGGGCCGCTCACTCTGCCAGCGGACGGGTGGGGCCCACGGCCGCCCTCGCACTCCCTGGCAGGACTTGCTGTCCTGCCCGGCTCCTGCAGCCCTGTGGCTCCTCGAGTGGGACGCCCACCCTCCCCGCCCTCCCGAGGCTTCTCTGGAGTCAGCACCGGCTGCAACGTGCATGACTGTATCTGATTCCATTTAATTATATTTCAGTGATGTGCTGATGAGCAGGATCGGCGTTCAGTGAGGCGCAGCCCCACTCTGGCTCATCTTCGGGAGGATCTGTCTCCCCCTGCCTGGGCGGCAGGAAGCTTAGTCCCCGGAGCCTTCTGGGGTTCCTGCTGGCCTCGTCCTAGCCCTGTCTTTTAGAGGCTCCCACTTGGGGCGAAAGGCTTTGGGACAGTCGCACCTGGACACCAATGCTGAGAGCGGCTCAGAGGCTCCCAGAGCCCAGCCTGCCCGTCCGGGGCCTGCTGCCAGGGAGTTGGGCAGCCACATGATCTGGGACAGAAACACAGGGCAGCCTGTGCTAAGAAGAGAGGGGTGCTGGTCAGAGGGTGAGGAGAGGACGGGAGCAGCAGCGGAAAGCAGGTCCCAGCTCCAGGGCTGCCCGGGTATCTTCTGCAGCAGAAAGGCGGTGTCCTGTTCCCAGGCATCACTTTCTGGCCAAACAAGATGCCCCGTGTGCTCGATTGGACCCGGGCAGGCCCCTCCCAGGGTAGATGCAGGTGCGGGGACAGAGGGGAGGGTGGGCTGATGAGCTGGGGCTACCCGCCAGACAGCAGGTGTCCCAGCTGCTGAGGGCTCCATCTCTGGCCGTTCCATGCATTTAGATGCCCAGGACGAGGGAGGGGC